TATTTGTTTCCATAAATGGATCCATTTATGGAAACAAATAGATACAATGTTTCAACCGCTGTATGGAGTGAATGTCCCAGAACTGTCAGAAATAGACTATTTCTGACAGTTCTGGGACATTCACTCCATACAGCGGTTTCAACCGCTGTATGGAGTGAATGTCACAGAACTGTCAGAAATAGCAGAGCTCTGCAGATACACTTAGAGGAGCTCTGCAGATACACTTAGAGGAGCTCTGCAGATACACTTTTTGCCGGCTTGGAATTATTCTTATTTTCATCCTACTTCTTCTTCTTCTTCTTCTTCATCCCTCATCCTCTTCTTCTTCTTCTTCTGAGGATGAGGATGAAGAAGAAGAAGAAGAAGAAGAAGAAGAAGTAGGATGAAAATAAGATTAATTCCAAGCCGGCAAAAAGTGTATCTGCAGAGCTCCTAGTGTATCTGCAGAGCTCCTCTAAGTGTATCTGCAGAATAGAGGAGCTCTGCAGATACACTTTTTGCCGGCTTGGAATTATTCTTATTTTCATCCTACTTCTTCTTCTTCTTCTTCATCCTCATCCTCATCCCTCTTCTTTCTTCTGAGGATGAGGAGGATGAAGAAGAAGAAGAAGAAGAAGAAGAAGTAGGATGAAAATAAGATAATTCCAAGCCGGCAAAAAGTGTATCTGCAGAGCTCCTCTATTCTGCAGATACACGTAGAGGAGCTCTGCAGATACACTTAGAGGAGCTCTGCAGATACACTTTTTGCCGGCTTGGAATTATTCTTATTTTCATCCTACTTCTTCTTCTTCTTCTTCATCCTCATCCTCATCCTCTTCTTCTTCTTCTGAGGATGAGGATGAGGATGAAGAAGAAGAAGAAGAAGTAGGATGAAAATAAGATTAATTCCAAGCCGGCAAAAAGTGTATCTGCAGAGCTCCTCTAAGTGTATCTGCAGAATTGCAGGTACACTTTTTGCCGGCTTGGAATTATTCTTATTTTCATCCTACTTCTTCTTCTTCTTCTTCTTCATCCTCATCCTCTTCTTCTTCTTCTGAGGATGAGGATGAGGAGGATGAAGAAGAAGAAGAAGAAGAAGAAGTAGGATGAAAAAAGATTAATTCCAAGCCGGCAAAAAGTGTACCTGCAGAGCTCCTCTAAGTGTATCTGCAGAGCTCCTCTAAGTGTATCTGCAGCTCCTCTAAGTGTATCTGCAGAATAGAGGAGCTCTGCAGATACACTTTTTGCCGGCTTGGAATTCTTCTTATTTTCGCGGTTGAAACATCTGTATCCTAAATGGAAACTAATAGATACAATGTTTCAACCGCTGTACATGTGAAGGAACTGTCAGAGAAATGTCAGAAATAGCGGAGCTCTCTGCAGGGACTCTTTTGCCGGCTGATCGGGAAAAATCCGATTCGCGCACCCGAAGTAGGCAAATATTCGGATTCGACGCGAATCGAATTTTTCCTGAAATTCGTATCGAATTCCGGTTCGCCTGGTTCGATTCGCTCATCTCTAGTAGACGCTATAACTTTCACGTAAACCAATTAATTTACACGTATTCGGGTTTTTTTTTAGCAAAGACATGTCGCAGAATGCATTTTGGCAGAAATTTATGACTAAATTTGATTGTTGCATTTTTTTTTACTGAACATGATTTATAGCAAAAAGTCCAAAATAATGTTTTTTTTTCTCAAAATTGTCAGCCTTTTTTTTTATAGCGCAAAAAATAAAAACCACACAGGTGATCAAATACCACCAAAAGAAAAGCTCAATTTGTGGGGAAAAAAAGGATGTAAATTTCATTTATGTACCATATTGCATGACCGCGCAATTGTCCGTTAAACTAGCGCAGCGCTGTATAGCAGAAAAATGGCGTAAATTGCAGTATCTATACCATAGATTGTAGACGCTATAACTTCCACACAAAGCAATCAATATACACTTATTGGGATTTTTTTTTACCAAAAACATGGAGCAGAATACATTTTGGCCTAAATTTATAAGCAACTTTGAGTTTACTATATATTTTTTATAGCTGAAAGTAAAAAATATTGTTTTTCTTCAAAATTTTTGGCCTTTTTTTGTTTATAGCGTGAAAAATAAAAAGCGCACAGATGATCAAATACCACCGAAAGAAAGCTCTATTTGTGTGAAAAAAAGGACGTAAATTTCGTTTGGGTGCAGCATTGCATGACCGTGCAATTATCAGTTGAATTAGTGCAGCGCCGAGTAGCAAAAAGAGGCCTGGTCATTAAGGGGGGTAAATCCTCTGGAGCTCAAGTGGTTAAAGCGGAGCTCCAGTCCCCCTAAAAAATTTTTGTAAAAGCAGATCCATAATGACATTACAAATAGCATTAACAATTGGAATAATTAAATATTAAAAGCATTGTAATTACTTAGAAAATCGTAAACATTTACCAGAATCTCGGAACCATGATGGCTGTGGGCATCTGAAGCCCGCATTTATTTATTTCCTGGAATCGTGATGCTGGCTATTCCAGCATGCAACACTTGTTCTCGTGCATGCGCAGTACAGACACTATATAATCAAAAAGTGCAGCGCTGAAAATACAATAATGTATCCAATGCTACTGTTACTTTAAATGCTGCAAATAGTTCATAAAGTGCAAAGTTCATATGTATAGTGAGATTATTTGGTATAACCATATGCGGTAAATAACATATATACAGTATATAAAGATATAAATAAAAGCCCATATAAGAGTGATATTCTGTCCTCAATTAATGATGTAAAGTGAAGATCCTGTGCTCAGGTGAAAAATACATTCTATGTGACATTTATTCCATTCGGTGAAGTGCAGGGAATATGGAAAAAATGCACACTCACCAGATGCGCATTTAAAATACGCAGTATAGTATACAAGATGTAATCTGCCAGAGGTCCCCTTTATGGTGGAATGGGTATACAGCCTGGAAAGGATCTCCCTCCTCTGGGTCCTGGAGCTGCAGCTTTGTGTCACATGGTACTCTGTGAATTAATAGCTTCCAGCAGCACGAGCTCCGGATCACAGCAGCTCTAGGAGCTGGACTCCCACACACCGCATTGAGCATGCGCAGGGCTGCAGGCGAGGAGGTGGGGGGGAGGTTGGGAATTGTAGTCCTCAACAATGGTGGGGTAGTGCCATAACAATGGTGGGGTCGGATGAAGTTCCTGCCCCCCGTCAGGCAACCTGTATAGCACTGTACTGCAAGAAAGGGCATATATCATGGACTTCGGTAAAATGGCGCGAAACACCTCCCATTCGCATCACTTCCAGTTTCCAAGTCCCACGATTACAGGAAACCAAAGGACTCCCGGGATACAGGAAACGACATCCAAGGAGACCTTGCAAATTGCCTTACGATGTCATCGACTAGGCGGTCGGGACCGGAACTGCAGGCTTTGAGAAGATTAAAAGGTATGTATAATAATTAAAAAAAAATATATAACCAACTTGTGCTTTATTTCACAGGGACTATATAATAAGGTAAAGTATTAAAAATGGGTGGAGCTCCGCTTTAACCTGAAATGATAAAAAAGCTTAGTATTGGTATGAACAAATCCAACTCTAGTACAGAAAAATCCTCCAATGGCCGAATTTGCTGTTTATAGGGATATATTTTTAGGGACATGCCAATGCATTTCACAGAGTGGCCATTGTATACTAGAGAACGTTTTCACGTCTGTGTCTGCTCATCTTTTATTGTCTAAAGCAAAACAGGGCGTTTCACCAACTCTGCCCCATACCCTGATCTCATCCAGAACAACAAATCAGAAATTAGCATTACCCGTTCACTTTATCTAAATAATTGAACACGAAACTGAAATGTTGAAGTGACTGGTGCAATTTATTAGCCCATAAGATTATATGAGAAAATTGGTCCCTGATATATAATGATCTCCCCTCCACACTTAATTCCTTTCAACGTTTTAAATGGAATTTGAATGATTGCTCCTCGGCGCTTACCAACGAAGGCGACTCAGTCTTTAATAGAATCCTGCTGGTCTGCATAATATTGTAATTTAATAGACGTTAGAGAGAAAATGTTCGTTCTGTGCAATTTTAGTGGTTATTTATTTTAATCTGTTTATCGTACGCTAGTGTGAATTGGATATTGTTGGAAAAGACAGGGGGTCGCTGGGAAAATGAACAGTTCCAATAAAAGAGGGAGGGTAGAATTGATGCAAAAGGAGTATAGGTCTCTTGTAGGTTCTAATTTTCTTTAAACGTGTTTTACAAATTGGAGGTACCTAGGAAAGGAAAAACAGTATATTAGCTTACAAAAAACATGATATCAACTCGTTCTGTCAAGAGCTCTTTTCACTGCTGGAAATCAAAAACGAAAAAAAATCTGTTGTGAGAGAAAATTGGAGCTGCTGGGCCTGTCTGTCTGTAGTAAGGATTAGGCAAAATGTTCTTCAGAATTGCAACAAAAATTGGGAAATTGTGGGACATTTTAGAGTTTGGTGAAATGCTTTAAAGTCAATGGGGAAGGTGAAATTAAACTGGATGCAATTTAAAGTCTGTGTCGCGATCAGGGGTCAGGCTCAAAGGCCAGTTCCTATAGCAGTGGAAAAAGCTCACCTGAAACCAGCAGGATAGGTACACAGGCAGGTCACCATGGCGGAGAAGTGGGATCACCCGAGGTGCGGAGTCTAAGTACCAACCAGAGCTCCTGATGGTGGAGATGGATTGTGCTGCCTGTTAGCACCAGGTCGTGATTCTCAGAATCACCCCCACCATGAGGTGAGCAAGTGAGGTCCAGGTCCAGAAGCGTATAAGCAGGTAAGGATCAAATGGAAGCATGGTCAGTAAACAAGCCAAGGTTGGTAATAAGCAGTCGCATTTGGGATCAGGCAGAAACATAGTCGAGAACAAGCCAAGGTCGGTAATGAGCAGTCGTCGCAGGTTGGGATCAGGCAGAAACGTAGTCGAGAACAAGCCAAGGTCGGTAAGGTGAGCAGTCGCAGGTTGGGATCAGGCAGAAGCATAGTAGAGAACAAGCCAAGGTCGGTAATGAGCAGTCGCAGGTTGGGATCAGGCAGAAACGTAGTCGAGAACAACCCAAGGTCGGTAATGAGCAGTCGCAGGTTGGGATCAGGCAGAAACGTAGTCGAGAACAAGCCAAGGTCGGTAATGAGCAGTCGCAGGTTGGGATCAGGCAGAAGCATAGTCGAGAACAAGCCAAGGTCAGTAATGAGCAGTCACAGATTGGGATCAGGCAGAAGCGTAGTAGAGAACAAGCCAAGGTCGGTAATGAGCAGTCGTAGGTTGGGATCAGGCAGAAGTGTAGTCGAGAACAAGCCAAGGTCGGTAATGAGCAGTCGCAGGTTGGGATCAGGCAGAGACGTAGTCGAGAACAACCCAAGGTCGGTAATGAGCAGTCGCAGGTTGGGATCAGGCAGAAACGTAGTCGAGAACAAGCCAAGGTCGGTAATGAGCAGTCGCAGGTTGGGATCAGGCAGAAGCGTAGTCGAGAACAAGCCAAGGTCGGTAATGAGCAGTCACAGATTGGGATCAGGCAGAAGCGTAGTAGAGAACAAGCCAAGGTCGGTAATGAGCAGTCGTAGGTTGGGATCAGGCAGAAGCGTAGTAGAGAACAAGCCAAGGTCGGTAATGAGCAGCCGCAGATTGGGATCAGGCAGAAGCGTAGTAGAGAACAAGCCAAGGTCGGTAATGAGCAGTCGCAGGTTGGGATCAGGCAGAAACGTAGTCGAGAACAAGCCAAGGTCGGTAATGAGCAGTCGCAGGTTGGGATCAGGCAGAAACGTAGTCGAGAACAAGCCAAGGTCAGTAATGAGCAGTCGCAGGTTGGGATCAGGCAGAAGCGTAGTCGAGAACAAGCCAAGGTCGGTAATGAGCAGTCGCAGATTGGGATCAGGCAGAAGCGTAGTCGAGAACAAGCCAAGGTCGGTAATGAGCAGTTGTAGGTTGGGATCAGGCAGAAGCGTAGTAGAGAACAAGCCAAGGTCGGTAATGAGCAGCCGCAGATTGGGATCAGGCAGAAGCGTAGTAGAGAACAAGCCAAGGTCGGTAATGAGCAGTCGCAGGTTGGGATCAGGCAGAAGCGTAGTAGAGAACAAGCCAAGGTCGGTAATGAGCAGTCGTAGGTTGGGATCAGGCAGAAGCGTAGTCGAGAACGAGCCAAGGGTCAATATTGAGTGGTAGCAAAATATGGATAATAACAGAGACGATAAGGAGCACAATACTCCCTGGAGAGCACAGTAATCTGGCAAACAGGAAGTGCAGAGACATGGCTTATATCAGGAAGTTCATGGAAGGAGCAAGGGTTCAAGGTTCATGAGACACAAGGTCAAGATAGGATCATCCAAATAATGGTCAAGTGAGCTGTCCAGCATTCCAGGTGGCTCAGCAAGAAGAAACATTGCCACTCACCGCAGAAGGCCCAGGTTTGGACCCAGGCTCTGACAGTCTGCTTATAATGCCCAGGCCCTTGCCCTTGTAAAAATTGCTGGCTGATAGTATTTCTAAAGAAACACATAAAGAAAAAAGTCAGTTTTTGTACTTACTTTACCCCCTGTATTTTGCATCCTTGGGGTGTGCTGTCACTACCCTTCCAAGGAGATTCCTGGAGAACTTTCTTGAGACACTCCAGTCCAATGCAAGAGTATTGTCTCATGAGATCTTTGCCAGAAAGTCGACAGGTGCTGTGAATGGAAGACTGGGGTAAGGTAAATGTCAGGATGTGAATTGCCTGCTGGTGGCACTGTGCTTCCCAGAGCGGGAGGTTATAGTCTCCAACAGATGCTGGCTGTTGAGAGGGTATTTAGTCTCTGCTCCTCTAGTACACTTCACATCAGTTTTATGTCTCTTCAGGGAAGCCTATCTTGCCCTCAGCTAATAATGGAATCTTTTACTCCTTCTACCAGTCCATCCCCTACAGTTACTACCTTTTGTACCACTAGCCCCTCCCTCCTAGATTGTAAGCTCCAAGGATCAGGGCCCTCCTAACCCTCTTGTATTGAACTGTATTGTTTCTGTATTGTCTCCCGTACATTGGAAAGCGCTGAGCAAACTGTTGGCGCTATATAAATTATGTATTATAATAATAATAATAATGTCAGGAATCAGCAGCAGGTCTTGACATTAAATATAAAATCTAACTTTATTCTTTACACGTACATTTTGAAAATACTATCAGCCAGCAAATTTTGCAGTGGAAGAGAGTCTGGAAATTATATGCAGGTAGTGCATTAAAGGTACCCTTTGAGGTGTTTTTTTTTTTGTAGTGGGTGTCATGGGCTTTAAATGGCTGCTCTGGTTCTTCTGCCAAAGACTGTCCTTCATCAGTCTTATCATGAGGCTAAAATAGACAGTGAATAAAGGAAACTTGATAATTTGAAGTAAACCCTAGCACTAAACTTCTCTTATTTGCTCCCTTTTGGTCTGTTAATAATACCATTTTGATTGTTTTATGACATTTGCTCAATAAGTAAAAAAAAAAAATTAAAAACAAAATCCCATTGATCCTGCAAGAAATAGTTGATAATTTCTTGCTGTCTGTCTGTTTTGACTGTTATCAGTTACCTCTGAAGACTGCTCTTTGTGTTTGATAAGAGAAGAGAAGGATCCTTGCTCTGAAGACGCCAACTTTTTTGGTGGCTGTACTAATCGTTTTTCTTCAGTATTCTGAGTTAAGAATAAAGCCGGCCATAGACTGGTCCATCTAAAGGCAGGCTGATTGTACCCAAGTCAACCCATCGATCGACTTGGGTACAAACAGCATGTCGGATTGTTACATGCAATTATTGCCAGTGGCTATAGCCAGCAGCAGTAATCACTGTGTTCTCCCAACAGTGATGGCTTCCCATGCCCCTCCCTTCTCTGCTGGGAGAGCACAATAGCTCAATGGGGAGGGATTTTATTTCTTGCAGTCCATGGTTTCAAGAAAGAAAATCTCATCATCTATGGCCTGCCTAAGTATAGAGATAACTTCTCCCCATATTTCCTGACTGGTATGTATGTTCCAGGTCTTAAAATGATGAAGCAAAAGGTTCAGCATATTAGCGAACATTTCTACAACCAGAAGAGCAATAGCAATCTCCAATTTCTTACATGACTTTAACCACTTCCCGTCTGGCCCGTGTATATAAATGGCTGTACGGTGGCAGTGCAGGGGCGGGTGGCCATTTATAAACGTCTTCCCCAGTCCCTGGTTGTGCGCGCTCCCTGGGAGCGTGTAGCACCGTGATTCGGTGCCTGCTGTGTCCTCTAACCACAGTGGAGCACCGATCATTGTACGGGACCTGTGTGTGAGGTCCCGATCATGTGATCACTGATTGGCCAATCAGTGATCACATGAAGAGTAGTAAGCAAGATGTCACTTCTGACATCATTGCTTACTACGTGTGAAATCTGTGAATGATCACAGAGATCACATGGTACAAGGCTATTCACAACAGCCTTGTACCATGTGACAAGCTGTAACCAATCACAGCTCACACTGTATTTCTCAAGAGAGAAGGAGAAATGATTGCTTTTACAGCCTTTATGGGTGTAAAAGCAATCAGTGTACAAAAAAAAAAAAAAATCTTCACCCCCCACAAGTAGTACAGTGCCACTATGGTGACACTGTACTGCTACGAAGACAGTATGTAAAAAAAATAAAAATAATAATATAAAAAAATAAAATTATTATGTTATTTTATAACATATAATGTTATTTTTTTTTACTAAAAAGATAATTAAATACATTGTGGCCAAGATTTATGAAGAAAGATTATTTATTTGCAAAATTGTATAAGAAAAACACTTTTTTTCAAAATTGTTGGATTTTTTCCATTGCCCCATTGCAAGGGAGAATTTTAAAGTTATTAGGGGTTGGACTTTAAGGTGAGCCTGTGTGCGAAATCGTATATGTACAGCTAGAATAGGAGACTATGATCTTCCATCTGCAGTCCCTTGCGGCCTAAAATTGGCCACACGCTAAAATCGAATTGTACAATCTGTATATTTATGGTACTAATATAGTGCTGTCAATTTACGCAGCACTTTACTTATATATATATATTGTACATTCATATCAGTCCCTAACCCTCAAGGGGTGTACAATCTAAGGTCCCTAATTCCTATTCATACATACACATACTAGGGACAATTTAGACAGGATCCAAATAACCTACTAGCATGTCTTTGGAATGTGGGAGGAAACCAGAGTACCCAGAAGAAACCCATGCAGGCACAGGGAGAATACAAACTCCAGGTAGGTGGTGCTGTGGTTGGGACTTGAACCAACAATCCTAGTACTGCCAGTTGGACGTACTAACCATTTAGCCACTGTGCTGCCCAAATAATCTGTTAGGACCTGTGTAGAAGTACTTTTGTTCACATGAAACAGGTCCCCAAAGAAGTCTATGAGAATGCAAAATCCAATTGAAAAGATCAGAAGGAGATCAACTACAGATGAAATGTTCCTGTCAATGAATTCTAAATGATCTCAGAATTGTCTCAAACTGATTTCAAACTGATTCCATGGACACAAGCCCTGAAGCCCATCAACACAGGCCCTAACATTTACCGACAATTTTGTAGCACCTCAAGACCCACCTCAACAGACCATCCAATCACACAGCCCTTTATGCTGCATAGTTCTTACTAACTCTAAAGGAGATTGTACAGTCAGAGTGTAACGGATGGGGCCAGCTAAAGAAGTTGAACGCTCTTACACCCTCTGTATCGTTCATCAAGTTCAATTATCCAGGTTTGGGACAGGTTTACTTTCATCCTTTCGAAACCGACTCTAAGTTATTATAAATAGTCCCTCAGCAGTGGTTGTAATAATAAAACAGGTCTGGCTGCAGTACAAACCTTCTTTCCAGCAATGTACTATTTAGTAATTCAATCCATCTCTAGATGTTAAGTGTCTTTAATTCAGAATGACCCCCACTAGGGTGTCATGGAGTCTAGAGGGGTGCCACCTTTCATCTAGTACTTATGCTGTTAGAGGGCTATCAAGATCAATGAGGACCACGGGGAGAGGATCTGAAGAAGTCTATAAGGGTACCATTCTGACCACCACTGTAAGAAACACTTATGCTGTTAGAGGGCTATCAAGATCATTGAGGACCACAGGGAGAGGACCCGAAGAAGACCCTGACCAGCCTGAAGACTTAAGAAAAGGTAAATATTGGAAAGAAATGACCACCACTGTAAGAGGCATTCTGACCACCACTGTAAGAGGCACTTATGCTGTTAGAGGGCTATCAAGATCATTGAGGACCATGGGGAGAGGATCTGAAAAAGACCCTGACCAGCCTGAAGACTTAAAAAATGGTAAATATTGGAAAGAAATGACAACCACTGTAAGAGGCATTCTGACCACCACTGTAAGAAGCACTTATGCTGTTAGAGGGCTATCAATATCATTGAGGACCACGGGGAGAGGACCTGAAGAAGACCCTGACCAGCCTGAAGACTTAATAAAAGGTAAATATTGGAAAGAAATGAGGATAGAGGACTTCAGGACAAAAGTCCATGCAGTTCAACCATAAAGAAAAAAAAAAAAAATGTATAATCCTATACTTACAGTTGACCCAGGGGGGATTTGGGGGAAGAAGAAGTGAGATTGGCACTGAACTTTAAACAACACTGCCCATTCAGGACATAGTGACAGTGCCTCTTGAAAGGCCTCCACCCCGACAAAGTATACCCATTCATCCAAGCTTCTTCATTTCCTCCCCACTTCGTCAGAGCCCTTGTTCTATCACTCCAAGATGGTGACTTTTTTCTACTTTTGGTAGGTATGGTGGACCATCAACACCATCTGACATCAGATGTTACAAAGGGTGAACTCCTGCAGTGGGAAGACAGAGAGAAAATGTACAAGTGAGTACAACTTGCTAAGGATGGGCTATCAGGAGGTCACTGTCATTTTGCCCTGAATATGCCTCTGTAAAGTAAATCTGTTCTTTGTCAGTTCAGGGCATGTCTTTTAGTAATTGAATAACACATAATTTTTCATGAATTGATAAAAAAATTTAAAGATGGTTTCCTTGTATAGTGGTCCTCTGTATGCGACTGCCTAAGATGCTCTACAACAGCCATTCTCAGCTATAATTCCTTGGATCCCTAGGGTTCCTTCAGAGGTTGCTAGGATTTCCTTGAGC